TACATACATACATACATACATACATACATACATACACACAGAAACTACGTTACACGGATACAGGCAGAAATTGATAATCGAAAACGGATATATGAAATTACCATGACGCCCAATTTTTGGAATGCTAAAAAACAAAGACAAAAATAATTGACAGAAAGATAGAGTAGACTTAATTAGATAATTAGATTATTCAAGACACTTACTAATTTACTCGGCTGCATTACTGTTGACTAGGGTTGTTCATCAAAATTTGTTTTTTTTTTAGTTTAAAACACTTCGTATTTAACAGCGCTGGAACTTTTACACCAATTGTTTTTCAATCATCGAAAAAGTTGTTTTTAAAGTAATTTTTTTTGTACCCAAATCTTCCTAGTTTTAACGATTTCCTGCTTTTCCTTTTAACATTTGTGAAGAATAATTCTAGTCGACAATTTGAGTGACAGTTTAACATTAATGGTAGGGACTTAAACAAAAAACAGTTTTTCATCATTGGGGAGAAAACAAAGCTTTAAACGACCAGACAAAAAAAGTTCTTTTGTGGATACAATAAGTGTGCATTTTTTTTTTTTACAACAAAAAATGACAGTTGGTGTTGGAGAAGAAAGGGAAGTGTAGTAGAAAAAGCAGGAAGACAAAGGTGATGAATAATCTTTCAGAGCACAAGAAGAGATTGAAGAAGGAAAGAACAGCTGAATTATAAGGCCCGTATAAAGAGTTCAAAATTCCAAACATCTACTGTATTTGCTTTTGTCTGATCAAATTTTCATTATCACTTATTACAACAGTTATAACTAGACACCCTTTTCTATTGTTTTTCTTTTATCATTTGCATAATCCGATTAGGGTAAAGACAAATGCAAAAGAACGGTAGAAAAACTGTTGATGAAAAAAAAAGTGATTATAGCAAAGCTTTAGAACTTAGAATTACAAGAGAAAAAAGTGGCTAATTTAAATCAATTATCAGCTCTTGATCCGGAAGTATTTTAACCCAAACAAAAACCGCTGCAATTCATCGTAATTTTAAGCCTTTAGTTTATGTGTCGATTTGTAGCAGCTTTTAAGCATTAATCAGCAGAAAAGAGGGTTTCTTCTGTTGCTTTTGCTGCTATTTCTGCTATCGAGCCGGTAAATACATATAGATGTGGATGTACGTATAGATGCTAAAGCTATAAACGAATATCGCAATATTTCACTGGTATTGGCGGCCTAATAGATTCATTTTCAAGAACATTCAAAGTCCTAGTTTCTACATTCACAGTCATCGAGAAACCTTCTTTTGTTTGCGGCAATGAACGACGACTTCGTGCAGCAGTCGGTTCATCATCATCCGATTGCATTATTGCTCGTCGATGTTCTCCAGTATTTTTGCTTCCCGAACATTTTGGTGGCTAAAATATTTGAATATAGTTATGGATGAAATTCCAAATGATTCACCAAGTGTTTAAGTAAAAACAATATGCTTTTTTTTTCTTGCTTCTTAGTATTTTAAACAATCAATCTGCCGACAGATGCAAGATGTTTTCCTTTTCTACAGAATTGTTTTCTTTGATCTCTTTTTTCGCCTTCACTCTCTATGGGGAACAGTTAAAAAAATGATACTAAATTCAATAAGCAAATATAAACAGTTCATGGTTGACACTCTGTCAATTATTCTTTTCTGTTAGCTGTTTCTTCTAAATCCAAACCCGTTTTTATTTTCTTCTTCTGTGTCAACTTCGCTAAAGCTATTCAATTTTGAGAACGGATGGCCTTAGTTTTCTCTAATAAGCAGATAATACTACTTGCTTATTAATTTGGGCAAGAACAACGAAAAAAAATTAGCTGTCTGACAAAAAATTGTCGTTCCGATGAACGTTCCTTGTGAATGCCAGTTAACAGTACAAAACGAAGAATTATGACATCAACTCACAATCATCTGTGTGCACGGCGCATCACTTTCCATATCGCATAAAGAGATTTTGCATTGGAAAATTACGTTGTAATCCCCAGGAAATTTGAAAACGCTCATTTCTTTGAACACGTATGCATCTCCTTTACGTGGTTTTTCGAAGAATTTTGAATAGTCAGGAACTTCAAGAAAATGTGGATCAATTTCACATCTGTAACCAGTTTCGGTTAACTTGCTTGTCGTGGCAAATAACTGCAGTTGTAGAGAAGACTGTGAAAACAATGACTGCAATTTGAAGTGGTTTAAAGATCTTGTGGTAAGACTTACCCATCGGAGTCCAAAATCTGAATGTTCTTTGTCTCAGACTTAACGTAACAGTCATGGACCAAATAGTGATAATTTGGAGCTGAAAAAATATTTTTCTCTATCTCGCATGATAAGGCTCATATTAATGGTCGTCAATTACAGCTAGTCGCGTCTCAGCAAAACTTTGATTAAAATTACTTTTGACTGCTCAAAATCTTATTCCAAGAATACTATTATAAAACTCACGACTATCGCATTCCCATTTATGGAACAGCGATTCGCCGACTTTAGCATCAAGTGCCACACATTCTTCTGGACTGAATCTGTGCAGCCTGTATGAACATTCAGTATCTGTCAACTTTTTCAGGCTTGAACGTCCAATTTCTTGCAAACTTACTGTCTGTGGGTGGAAACAAGAAACGCTGAGGCCCTAAATAAAATTCAATGTAAGCATTAAATTTCTATTTTCAGAACTCTCGTCTAGTTGAAAAAACTTTATTGTTCAGCATGTCTCATGCAACATCAAGATGGAATTTGCATACTTGGTCGGCACGGGTGATGATCAGAGGGTGAAACTGCAGTATTACAGTGACATTGTACGAGTACCCATCTCTTCTCTAAAGAAATAATATTCTAGCTTTCTCTGAGAGAACTCATAATTGAAGTATTTTATTAAACATATTTGTAGTTATAAAGCCATACCGGGGATGGAGTTTTTGATAAACCGCAAGTACCTTCTACAAAGGTAATTGAGACTTCACGCGATGAACCATCCGTTACCTAGAAGAAAAAGTCGTTCAAATAAAACCAATTTTTTTCATTGTGTTTTCACACAATAAAAAAAAATTAAGATTAAAAAGAATTAATATTATGCAAGTTTCTACCTTAACGCATTTAGGATCATCATGGTATTGTTGTGCATACATTAAACCAGTCATCGGTTTCTGAGTACGTACTGTAAATGTAACAGAAGTTGGTCCACAAGTAACATCTGTAGCTCCTCTAATTCTTGGTTTAGCTTCTACACCCAAATCGTATCCAGCGCAACCAAATCCAACGTATTTTAGAAACTCAGTTTCAAATTCCTAAACACAAGTTTTACAACTGTTAAATGAACAAATAAATTGATTGTTAAATCGTATTCAAATATGATATAATGTTATTTTCTAGTTGCTGCAGTGCTAAAGTCTTTTTACTGTGATTTTTTAAACTTGTGGTTATTGAAGTACTAACATTGTCATTGAGTGGCGTGAAGACTCTTCTTGCATCTTGCGCGATACTCAGTAATTCAGCTTCATCGACATACGGACTTGGAGTCATAGAAACTGCAAATAGTTCAATGCCTTCCGCCCTTAATCTGTGTGCTAAATTGCGAGGAGGACGTTGTGAATGACCATCGGTCATAATTATAGCAAGTTTTGGCACTCCTTCTCGGGCTCCTAAAAAATTAGCGTAATGACAATTTTGGCTCGTAGTTTTCAATATCCAGGAACTAATAATTCAATTCTATCACATTTTCCATTGTATGACTACTTCCGGTTTGCTACTTTTAATGAAAGAATAGCTTACCGCTATCACCATCTCTGTTCGTGAACAATTCGTAAGCCATTTGCAACGCAATATGAGTTGAGGTTGTTCCTTTGATAGATCGAAGTGTGTTAAGGTAACGAATAACTGCCGTGTTGTTACCGTATTTTGGATCATTGAATTTGAAGTGAACAAAAGCTTGACCGGAATAGGTTATCAGCGCAACCCTAAACTAATAATTTTACAGATTTTTTAGCTTAATGTAAAAGAATGAACTGAGTTTAAAAACTTAGTATATTATGATTAAAATGATGAAATAGTCAATGATTTACCTGACTGCATCCGGGTGTATATTGACGTTCTGAATAATTCTTTCAATGGCGAAACGGATTTGTTCATCAAAAAGACGATCAACAGATTCGGAAGAATCAATAATAAGAGCAAGATCTAGCGGTTTATCAGAACCTTTTATGCAAACTGAAAACAGTTATTTCTTGAGACTATTAGTCAACACTCTCATAAGAGAAATGATTAACTGTCGTCTAAATCGCAATTTAACACTGATATAACTAAAAAAAAGCAAAGTCCAATAATTGCTGCTCTTACTTGGACGCTCCTCGCAAACTTCTATTCCTCTCCAAGGATCAAACAGAGGCTCAAGGTTGTCCAAATTCTTATTTGTGATTATTCGCTTGGCATCCTAAAAAACTTACTAGACTACTTCATACGATCAGAATATCATGCCAGGCAGTTTCTCCTTACAAAATCAAACTGATAATATTCCTTACGCGAGTAATATTAATCAGCTCATTCCAAGCCACATAGTCTCCGGTACCGTACGCCCAAATATCAACATTTGGGATCTTTCTTCTCATTAGGTCAGACATTTCAGCGTCCTTTGGATAATCGTGAGTTCTCCCATCAGACAAAAGATAGACAATTTTTGGTACATTCGATGAACGCATTCCCTAAACGAAACTATGGTTGCGTAAACCACTGGTAATCAAATTGTCTTCAACTAAAACATTTGAAAATGTTCTAATAGAAACAACTATAAACATACATTTTCTGGAGTCATTTTTGTGAGAGCAAATTCAAATGCTCCACCAACTCTGGTAATCCCAGATACATGTCGAAGAACATCCAGAGCACCAAGAATATCATCACGATTGGTAAATTTGTTAAAATTGAATTCCAGATGTTGTACACCGCTAAAATTATTGCGCAAGTAATTTGTTGTAAAATTGTTTGCTGGTAAGAATTATTGTCATTGAGATGGTATAATAGAGCTTTTGTTGACGTTTAAAAACAAGCCAAAAATTAATCAAAAAAGCACAGTTGAATCAGTTACGGCACAGATGTTCAGTCAATTAATTGTTCAAAATCTAGAAGCTAAAAGCGAAACCTGAATTGAATCAACATTACACGTGTTGCAGTATCACCGATAGTAACATGTTTAACGATTCGACGTATCACATCAATTTCATCTTGAAATTTATTCTTTAGTGAACCTGAACTGTCCAAAATGAACACCAGGTCAAGTGGTGCTGCTTGGACGACACATCGAGCTAAAGATATCATGCATTTTATTTCATTTAAAAATAAAAATAAAATGAAGACAATAAAATAAATTATAAATGAAAAGCACTATTAATTTATTTCTGATTAAGAAATTTGTTAGAACAGGTACCTCGTTAA